CTCCGTACAGGAGTGTTGTGAGCACGACGGCCTTGTACATCTTCAGTTTCGTGGACAACTTGAGACCATGAAGATTCCATACAGAGGCTTGAAGCCGGTTGAAGTCTTGGCTGGCTTTGGAGATCCTGCGAGCAACCCGTCGTGGATGCGGGTGTTGAGGGATAACGTGCTGCCGAGATAGGCGAATTTGTCAACGTTTTTGAGCTCGGCGCCATTGAGGTTGATGCGTGGAGCATTGTGGTCAGCACCCGGCGGCGGTCGGTGCATGACCACCGTTTGGTCCTTGTTGATGTTGAGACCGAAGTTTGCGCAACCTGTAGCGAGGAGGTCCATACTCCTTTGCATGTCTGCTTCGGTTGTTCTGTTGAGAGTGCAGTCATCCGTGAGCAGTGGGCCATGAATTGTGGTCGTGGAGACGCGCGTTCGGGGACGGTTGGCCGGATAGTTTAGACAGTTCAATCGATAGACAATTCCCGACATTTCCTCGGGTGGTAGCCGCCTCTTGGGCTGCATTAGTAAGCGCCAGATAGCGGTTTTTGGCCTGTGATCAAGGTCCACATTGAAGGACATGAGCATGCGTTCAGTGGCCTCGGAGACGTCTCTCACGTAGAGCAGGGCACGGAAAATTTCTGGTTTTTGTTTTGGTTTAACGTCGGTATTCGTGTGCCCTGGGCACAAGCTTATGTTGGCGAAGCTACGCGGGTACCCATTGGAGAGGATGAGTTGCGATAGAGTCTTACGCTTGCGTAGAAAGTGTTCGGACGCAACTGCGTTTATGCGATAGAGGGTGGTTGCATTGTAATGGAGTATTTTTGCCGTGTTTGTCGTTTTTCGAAAAATATCAGTCTGCAGTGCTTGGTCTTCCTGTGTCGACACCTGAACATCAAGGAAAGGAATGTCTCCGTCATTTTCTTCCCCAATTGTAAATTGGATTTCCAGGAAAATTGAGTTCAATGGCGTTTGGAAGGTTTTAAGAGAAAGAAGAAGAATGCTATATTGAGGATTTTACAAACCTGAATTT